CTTGCATGCAGCTGACTTGGGTTCTAACCCCAGCATCCCATATGGTCTCTGAAGCACAGCCTGAGTGCAGTCCCTGAATGCAGAGTAGGAGTAATACCTGAGCATCTCCAGGTGTGCTCCCCCCACCAAAAAAATAAATAAATAAGGAATTTATGACCAGGGCCAGAGTGATGGTACAGAGGGTAGGGCATTTGCCTTGCACACGGCCGACCCGGGTTCAATTCCCAGCATCCCATAGGGTCCCCTGACCACCTCCAGGAGTAATTCCGGAATGCAAACCCAGGAGTAACCCCTGAGCATCGCCGGGTGTGACCCAAAAAGCAAAACAGAAAAGAAAAGAAAGAACTGATGCCTATGCTAAGGACCCAAAGTCTTCCTGTGCTTCACATATACACGCCCTGAGTCCCACCTAATCACAGATGCTGTCAGACAGAGGCAGAAAGAGCCGAAACCAGGCACACCGTATAAGCAGGGTTTGGGGTACAATCCCGGGCCTTCTTGCCCTCTCCCCAGCCTTTCCAAGACCGACTTCCTGCCTGGGATTGGGAATCCTTCCCAAGAGAAGGCTAGAAATGGCAGGCAAATTCGAGGGGGTGTATGGGTATGCCTGGTTCATCTTCAGCCCGTCACAACTCCGGTCAGATGTGCTCTAGGAATCCTGGAGCACCGGGTCCCTCTGATGGGCTCCAGATGTGCTTTACATCTGGGAAGGCCATCTCAGGAAGCCCAGCTCGCGCCCACAGTCCCCACCCCGGATGCACGCTCCTCCGTGCAGGCCTTTAAACCAAAAGCTTCGAGCCCTCCTTTCCTCTCCGGAGACAGGTACACGGCTGCAGAGAAACGGGAAAGGGAGCGAGCCAATAAAACGCTCCCAAAGTTTCTTTCCTTTTCTTTCTGGCGGTGCTGGGGATCCACCCACAGTCTCACCTGGGTGAGGCAAAAGCCCTACCCCTGAGCTACAGCCTGAGGTGAAAGCTTAGGACGCTTCAGAGGATCCTATTCCCTTTCAACTTCCTTGCTGGAGGCTGGTTCTTTTTGCAGAGTTCTGGTGCCTTGGGACTGCCGAGAGAGCGCAGCTGGTAAAACACTTACCTTGCACAGGACCTACCTGGGGTTCCGGCAGTCACTGGCTCCCGATGCGGTCACCAGGAGAGATGCCTGAGCTCAGAGCCAAAGTGAGCCCTGAGCACCTACCAAAACGAAACGAAACTAAATTCAAAAAAGGGTTCTGCTGCCTCAAAAGAATTTTTTTTTCCTTTTGGGTCACACTCAGTGATGCTCTGGGGTTACTCCTGACTCTGCACTCAGGAATTACTCCTGGCGGTGCTTGGGGGACCATATGGGATGCCAGGGATTGAATCCGGGCCCGGCCACGTGCAAGGCAAACACCCTTCCCACTGCACTATGGCTCCAGCCCCCCCAAGAAAAGACATTTTTTAAGGAACTTGAAAGAATTGGGTGGGGAACACAGGGAAATCCATCCACCTAATCAGCTTGTTCTGGACCCCTGGATCTGATATATCGAATGTCTCCTAATCTCTTTCTTCACTACCCCTCCCCATGCTAGTCTGGCCCGAAACAAACTCCCTTTGTGGCTCTCTTGAGCCCAGAGATATCGGGGAGGTGTCAAGCCTTCGTGTCGGGATCCCAGGAGCACCAGGAGAGGCCAAGCGAGGAATCTTATCTATCTCCCAGGACTAGTCTTGTCATCAGAGCAAACATCCTCCATCCACCCCCCCCTGTACTCTGAGGGGGTGGAAAGATGAGAAGAGTCTGGGTTGGTTTTAGGTCTGGGACAGGGGGGAGGTGTCAGACAGGGAGAGGGGGTGGTGGCCGGTGATTCACAGATGATGGAGCCACTGAGCCCTCCAAGCTGAGCCCTGAGTCAGGCTGGTGACTGAGCCCGAGGAGGCATACAGGCTGTTGGTGCCCTTTCCAATTCCTCCCTGTGACACACACACGAAGCAACACCCCAACTTGTCCTGGCTCTGGACCCAGACTCCTTGTGTCACTGGCTCTACTCCAGAGGCAGCCCTCCATGAGGAGTCCTTGTTCCTTCCCTCTGTGAGACCCGGTTCCCACTCATCACCCCACCATCGGGCAGAGAAGTGGGACCCCCAGCGCCCAATCCAAGAGTCGTAAACCAACAGCTCCTCCTTTGTCCATTCAACTTTCCATTTTTTTTTTGGCATCATATCACATTGAAAAGAAAATCATACTTGCATCATCTCTGGGCATGAGAGGGTTGAGGAAGTCAGAATTCACCAGTGAATTCACTTCAGATCTCTCCAGATGGGAGAATTGGAGATTTTCCTCTCTGCTTCTGCAAACCTCCAGCCTGTCCACATATATATATATATATAGATAGATAGATAGATAGATATAGATATATTCCATGCTAGTTGACAAGTTTAATATCTTGAAGTCCTTGCTTAGTTTTAGTTTTGCCCAACAAGGCACTAGTCAGTTTACTTAAATCAGATCCTCCAGTTCTCAAATTTTCCAGGTATTTAAGAATCAAATCGGAAGAACCTGGATCTGACCCCAGAGAAATCATAGACATACAAGAGCTTCCTCCAGTTTTAATTGTTAACATAGTTTCAATTTGCCCTGGACCCATTTTGATCCCCAGCATCCCATATGGTCCCTGTCAGAGTGATCCCTGAGCACAGAGTCAGGCATAAGTCCTGAGCACCACTGGATGTGACGACTCCCCCCCACCCCACACACATACACACACAAAAAAGTCAAAGGATCAGCCTTGGGGCTGGAGCGATAGCACAGCTGGTAGGGTGTTTGCCTTGCACATGGCCAACCTGGGTTCAATTCCCAGCATCCCATATGGTCCCCAAGCAACTCCAGGGGTAATTCCTGAGTGCAGAGCCAGGAGGAACCCCTGTGCATCACCGAGTGTGACCCAAGAAGCAAAACCAAATAAATAAATAAATAAATAATGAACTAAAACTCTAAAAAAAAAAAAAAGGATCAGCCTTGAAGAAGGTACCCTTCCTCAAACTCCCTAAGGAAAGTGAACCTAACTTCAAGGTTTGCAGTCTCGAATCCTCGCCCTAGAGAAACCCAGCCCAGTCTAGAGAGCTAAACAGATGATGCTGAAGAGAAAGCAAGGGCTTTGGAATCTACCGGGATTACGCCTGGATTTTCTCCACCTCTACCCCTTTCTGACTGTGGATCTTGACTGAGTCATTTCATTCTCTGCACCCCAGTTTCCTAACAGTAAAACGACCGAGTACCTCCAGTGCTCGATAAAATGGACTGAAGGCCCTTTAAAGATCAAGCCCAGGACTAATACTTTCTATGCCAAATCAAATGTTTTATGTGCCCTATCAAAACTCCCCACTCGCTTGAAGCTCAGCATGGCTCCATGCTTTCGATCGGTATTTCTCGAACTTTTTCCGACAGTGGGCCCCTCGGTTCGTGCAGTCCCTCCCCACCACCTCCGCCACATGATTTTCACCTGTCCTCCCTTGGGTTGTCGGTCAAAGGCCCCCAGAGGGGCACCCGATGAGAAACACTGCTTTGTATCTTCCTCTGGGTCCTAAAACTTCAGCCTCCAGGTAGCCTGGTGACAGCAGGCGCCTGGCGGGCGTCCTGCCCTGGCCCTAGACCCCTTCTGCTCTTCTTTCAAGCAGACCACAATTAATAACAGTCATCACAGCAAATCATTCTTACTGAGCGATGAAGGGACCCAGCAGCCCGAGGGGTCAGCCCGGGGAGAGAAAGCAGAGACACTTGGAGACGTACAGGCTGGGGCAGAGACAAGCCGAGATATACAAGACAGAACACTGAGCGGAGACAGAGCACGTCTCGGGCGAGAACGAGGGGAGAGGACTGTGTTCGAGTCGAAACCCTTGGGTTCCAGGCTCCCCACGAGCTAGCGAGCCCGGTGCGACCTCGGTCAAGTCACCTCGGCTCTCTCCGTGCCCATTTTCCCTTCCTTCGGGACAAAGACCGGGGCTCAGGAGCTGGGGCCCCGCTTGGCCAGCCTTTCTGCACCAGCTCCATCAGGGAGAGAACCCCAGGTCCCAGCAGGGGAAGGGGAGGCCTGGCAGGGCAGGCCTGGGGAGAGCGAAGGAAGGAGGTGTTGGGGCTACTGAGAGAGGACTTATAAGGGCAGAGAGAGCCAAGAGAGGAGGGATATTGGGGAGAGAAAAGTCAGCCAGAGAATGACTAAGGGGCTCCCGGTGTAAACAGGAGCAGAGAGGGGACAGGGAGGGGGCCAGTTTGAGTTGGCCAAGACTTGGGGGGTGGAGTGGGGAGGGGATCAGGGTAGGACGCTATGTCCCTTGTCCCCCCCCACAAGGCTCCTGGGAGAAGCTGAGTCACACCCCTCCCTCCTTCCACCCCTCCCTGCTCCCACCCAAAGCTCCCACGTCCTGGGAAAACGGGACGCTCCGTGGCTGGGAGGAAGGAGGGGAGAGCTAGCTGGGTTCCCTGACCCCCTGGACGCAGCCCTCTCCTCGCAAAGAGGGGCTCTCAGCCCTGGGCTGCAGCCCCTGCCACCCGCCAGCACCGCGGCTGGCTGCGATCAGTGCTGGGTCTCACATCCTGCGCGCTTCTGTCGCTCCCGGCAGAGTGGGGACCCGTGGGCACGAGGGAGCGGGCAGGGCTGGCATCACCCTGAATCTGAGCGTCCGGCCTCTCCCTGGGGCTGCCGCTGGCGCTGGAGAGGGGCTTTGGGAAAAAAAAAGAAAAAACAGCTGGAAGATTTGGGACAGGAAGCAGAGGGGCAGGAGGAGGAGGAGACTGTGGCGCGGGGAAGCACTGATTCTGGGCACGTTGATTCTGGGATCCCCCCACTCCCACCCTAGCCTGTCCCCCCCAGACCCAAGTGGGGCAGGGGACTGGGAAAGAGAGGCGGCAGGGCCGGGCTTGGTCGACGACTCTTCTGCAAGAGAGGGAGCCTGAAGGGAACGGCAGGAAGCGCGCGGGGCAGGAGCAGGGGCTTGGAGAAGCTCTCGGCCCCCGGGTCCCCCTCCCCCATGATAAAGCCTAGAATCCTGAAAGGTGATCTCATCCCAGAGCCAGGGCCGAGGGCAGGCGCGGGCGGGGGTCCCGCTGCCACCGAGGAGCCGGGTGCCCGCTCGCAGGGCCTCAAACAATAGCCCTAAAGCCGGTCCCCTTTGTGGCACACGGGCCACCGCTGCGCTGCCCAGTCCTCCAGGTTTGCGGGACGCAGGCCGGCTCGAGCCAGAGGACCTGGGGGGGGGGGGCACCCCGCCGGACCCCCACGGCCAGCCCGATTCTAGGGTCTAAGAGCTGGAGGAGGTGCCCAGCGCCCAGGACCGGGCGCCCTGGGGCAGGACCCTCCTGTGAGTGACACTCGCTCGCCCCCGCCCCCGGCCCCCAATTCTGGGTGCGCAGTGCTTCCCGTGGGGGTTCCGTTTCGTTTCGTTCGCGTGGGCAAGGAGGACGGGACGCGGGGAGCCCGCGTGGGCAGGTCCGGGTCCGGCTGGGCGCGGGCGGGCGCCGCGGACCCGCGTCGGGGTCCCGCGTCCGTCCCCCGGCGCCCCGGAAGGCGAGGGGAATCCCAGCTGGCCGGACGCCAGGGCCGCCCGCCGCCGCCGCCGTGGCCCCCGAAGGCCAGGGGGAGACCCCGACCCCTCTCCTCCTTAGGAAACCGACCCTCCGGCGACTCCTGCCCCGAGAGCGGGCGCGGGGCGCGGGGCGCGGGGCGCGGGCGGGGGCGCCGACCGGGCCGGGCGGGCCGGGGGCGTCGGGGGGCGCGGGGCGGGGCGGGGGCGCGCGCCCGGCGTCCCCGGGACCCAGGAATGCCCCCCGCCCCCCGCGGGCTGGGGGAGGGCCCGCCGCGGCTCGGGCAGACTCCTCCCCGCGTGAGTCATCGGCCCGGGGAGGCTTAGGCAGCGGCTCCGGGTCGGTGGCCCCAGGACGCAGGAGCGGGCGATGGGGCCGAGCCGGGCCGCAGGGTCCCCGCCGCGCCCCGGGCCCCGGCGCCCGCCGCCGCCGCTGCTGCCGCTGCTGCTGCTGCTGCTGCCGCCGCCGCCCCGGGCCGGGGGCTTCAACCTGGACGCGGAGGCCCCGGCCGTGCTGCCCGGGCCCCCCGGCTCCCACTTCGGCTTCTCGGTGGAGTTCTACCGGCCGGGCGCCGACGGGTGAGCCGCGGGGCGGAGCGGGGCGGGCCGGGGAGGGGGCGGCGCGGGGGTCGGGGCGCGTGGCGGGGGCCGGCGCGGGAAGGCGCGGGAAGGCGGGGGTCCCGCGGGGGCGCGCGGCTGGGGCCCGGGCGCCCGACGCCTTGGTGCGCGCGGGACCCGCTCTCCGTGCCCGCCGAGAGGAGGGTCGGGGTTGCGCGGGCGGGGGGCGGCCGCTCCCCTCCCCCGCCGCTCGGACTGGGCAGGGGCCCGAGCGGCGGCCGGCGGCGCCCGCCCGGGCCCCCTCCCCAGCTCTGCCCCGACGGGGGCCCCGGGGGCTCGGGGAGCGCGCGGGGCCGGGGCCGGGGCCGGGGCCGGGCGGGCCGGGCCGGCCGTCTCGGGAGGGGCGCGCGCTGGCAGGGGTGGGAGGTTCCCCTCTTCCTCCGGCTCTCGGGAGGAAGAGGGAAGCTGGTTTCCTGTACGTGGTCGGTCGGCTGCAGCTGGACCGAGACCGGGACTTCTCGGGCTGGGCTGGGAAGCGGCGGGGTCTGGCCCCCCGGGCCCCACCCCCAGCGCCCCAGCCCCGGGCCCCGGGCGACCCTCGCTCCCCGCCCGGCAGGGTGACAGGGAGCCCCGGGCTCTTCGGAAGTGGGGAGTCCCCTGGCTGGGGGCGAGGGAAGTTGGAGGCGGCCCATCGGGACTCCTGTGAATCCTCTCTCTCCCCCGGCTCCCGCCCTGGGCTCCCCACCCCCATCACCCCAACCGCACGGATGGACCCGGGGGTCCGGTGGGGCCGCCCAGCCGAGAGCAGTTTCCACACGTAGCACCCTTAACGGATCTTCACTCGATCTTCACTCGCGGTCCCCTCCTGCTTGGAGAAAAGGTGTTAACCCAAATAAGTCAGTTGGGCAGAGCCCAGGCAGCCCTCTCGCCCCTTTGTCCGGATCTCTTGGGGATAGATTAAAAGAAAGAGGGTTAGGCCCCAGCTGTTGGTTCTGGTCTATTCAAGGTCCCCACCCAACCCCCACCCACCCCCTGGCCTTTTGCCCAAACCCCATTGCATCACCCTGCCCAGAGCCTCTGCCCGGCCAGGCCTACCCCGGTCCCCTGAAACTCTTACCGCCACCCCAACAGAGCAGAGAAGAGGGGGTGAGCACAGGGATGGGCCCTCCCCCAGGTCAGGGTACTGACCTTCCTCCTCCCCGTTCCCCGCCCCCTACCAAGACCATCATCTCCCTTTTGAAACACTCCTGTGAAACATCTGGACTTTCAGACACTTCCCGGTGTCTGTCTGGCCCTCGGCCCAATTCTGCCCAGTCCCCAAAGCCCGCTGCTAAGAGGGGAGAGTCTTAGCGTCCCCGTCCCTTCCGCCCCTCGCTCCTCTCTCCTCCCAGGAGAACCCAGGTGTCCGGCTTGCTCTCCACCCCTTCCCGTTTTCTTCTCACAATACGCTCTTTAGAGCAAGACTCCGGACATTGGCCCTCCCCAGTGACCTCCCTCCCCGACAGGTGGGCCTTCAACCCCTCCTTCCCCCACCCCAAGTAGGCCTGGGGGTTCTTAGCATCACAGGATGCTGCATGAGGGGTGAGTGAGAGGGTTAGGGACATGGGAGGAAAGGACAAAACTTGAAGTCGACCAACCTGGCTGCACCACGTACTCATTTTTGAATGTGACAAGTTCCTACTCTTAAGAACCTGGTCTCAGGGGCTGGAGCGATAGCACAGCGGGGAGGGTGTTTGCCTTGCACGCAGCTGACCCGGGTTCGATTCCCAGCATCCCATATGGTCCCCCGAGCACGGCCAGGAATGATTCCTGAGTGCAGAGCTAGGAGTAACCCCTGAACATAGCCGGGTGTGACCCAAAAAGCAAAAAAAAAAAAAAAAAAAAAAGAGCCTGGTCTCAGGGCTGGAGTGATAGCACAGCAGGTAGGGTGTTTGCCTTGCATGCAGCCCGACCCGGGTTCGATTCAGCTGGTAGGGCGCTTGCCTGGCTTGCGGCTGACCCAGGTTCGATTCCCAGCATCCCATATAGTCCCCCGAGCACGGCCAGGAGTAATTCCTGAGTGCATGAACCAGGAGTAACCCCTGTGCATCGCCAGGTGTAACCAGGAGTAACCCCTGTGCATCACCGGGCGTAACCCAAAAGGCCAAAAAAAAAAAAAGAACTTGGTCTCGGAAAATAGAGGACCCTTTCCTTAGGAAGCAGTTCAAGCTGCACTCCCCAAAGGCACCTGGTCCAGGGGCTGGGGAGATGTTACAGCTGGTCGGGCGCTTGCCTGGCTTGTGGCTGACCCAGGTTCGATTCCCAGCATCCCATCCCAGTAGTACCTGAGCACTGAGCCAGGAGGAAGTCTTGAGCACCCAGAGAGTGTGGCCCCCAAACAACAAACGAAAACCCACAGAGTGTCTGTTGCCTGGGTCTGTGTCTCTCCTCCCTGATGACCACCCAGTTCTTTGTCGAAGCTTCTGCCACTTGTGACTGTGCAGTGATAGTCATTAAAATCACTCACATCCCTTGGTATTTCACATCATTTTTTTAAGTAGGGTTCACAAGCTACATCTTGGAGCGTTCTGATATGTAGGCCAAAGCCATAAAAGTTTATGACAAGAAGTTATTTTTTGGGGGGGAATCACCCAAAGGCAGCCCACATCATGGTTTTGCTTTTGTTTCAGTGTCCCGAGGCTAAGCCAAGCACTGTTCATCGTGGCTCCTGCAGGTAGTGGGGGACCAAACGTGGTGCCAGGGATTAAACCAGGTCTTTCCGGCAGGACAAGCCTGCGTGCAATCCACGGAGCTGTCTCTCTGGTCCCGCCCAGCGTTTGGACCAGAGAATCCAATGATGGACAGAGGATCCAAAGCTTGGGGAAAAGAAATGATGTGACCCAGGGCATTAGCTTGAAAGGTGGACCCGCCTCAGCCCAGCGCCTTATTACTTTGGGAACTGACAGGAGTGGACACGACAGCTCCCTCCAGCCAGCCAGGCACGTCCCTTGAGAACACATGGGGGGACCCAGAATGAGGTGTCCTGGCCAGGGCCCGCAGGAGCTGGACCCTGGCCCACCCCCCCACCCCCGACCAAGAGTCAAACAATAACCAGGTATTGAACAGGAACTTGGTTAATCAGAAGCCTGGCTGGAGAGATAGTGAGGGGGGGTGGGGGCATTGGTAAATTGGCCACAGAGGAGATCAGAACTCTGGCCTGGCTCCTGATTCCTGGCTCCTAGCTCTCGTGTTAAGGATTTGCGTGACCCTGGGCAGGTTGCTTCCCTTCTCTGGGACTTGGGTTTCTCATCAGTAAAATGAGCACGGGCCACTGGGTCAGCAGTTTCTGCAAGAAAATATTTGTATGTTTTGAAAAGTTCGGACGCTATCTTATGAGGGCATCCGATGTAAAAAGGGGAGTGTGAGAGAGTGCAAGGCGTTAGGCGCTTGCCTTGAGCAAGGCCGGCCCAGGCTTGATCCCTGACCTTGTCTGTCGCCCCTTGAGCCCCGCCAGGAATGATCCCTGAGCTCAGAGCTAAAAATATACCCTGAGTGAGTACTGCAGGGTATTACCCCCCAACAAGTCACCCAAAGGAGGGGGGCGGCAAGGAAGGAAGAGGTCTCTCTGAAGGAAATGGGAGGGGGTGAGGATAGGGGTCACGGGTCACGGGTCACGGTCCTCCCGTTGTTCATCGATTTGCTCCAGCGGGCCCAGTAACGTCTCCATCATGAGACTTGTTACTGTGAGAGATACCACAGAGGGTGAGACCTCGCATGACGGTTACCCCAGTTCAGTAGGGTGCCCCTCCTAAGCTAATCCCCACGAGTGAACCCCCAGTCTGGAACCAGGAGCACTGACTCCTATTGAAACAAAGAAACGGGAGGCGAATGGGAGGTGTGTGAGAAGCCGCCAGCCCCCACTTACTCCACGGGGCAGCCCGGATGCAGCAGCCACAAAAAGTCTTCAAGCTGCGTCCACTCTCCCAAGGCCCTCCCCCACCCCCACCCCCAGCCTGTATCTCTAAGAACCAACTATCTTTCAGGCTTCGGAGGCTTCCCCAAAAGTGATGGCAGTTTCTTCTTCCCTTGGATTCTATTGGGTTTTGTTGTTGTTGTTGCTTTTTTGGGTCACATCTGGCGATGCACAGGGGTTCCTCCTCGCTCTGCACTCAGAAATAGTTACCTCTGGAGGTGCTCAGGGGACCCTATGGGATGCTGGGAATCGAACCCGGGTTGGCCGCGTGCAAGGCAAACGCCCTCCCCGCTGTGCTATCGCTCCAGCCCCTAGATTCTATGTTTTTGAAGAACGTTACCTGCCAAACGGCATCTAGTAAGGACGAAAGCTCTCTCCCCATGTTTTATCAACTTAGAAGTTAAAACAGGAAGACATTTGTGGCAGCTAATCAGCGCTTCTGACCAACATGGGCTAACCAGGTTCTCCACATGAGTTAATACAATTCCAGCCCAAAGCAAGTACACTTGAGGTTTTAATTAGCCTGGGCTGCCTTATCAGGTAAATGCATGATTTCCGGTAGGCCTTCTGAAGTATTGAAAATAGCCCAAGGACCCTCCATTGTTACCTTCTCGGACCCCGAAGAGGGCCCAACTGCTGCAGAGTTCAGGAAGCAGAACCCGGGAGTGGGGGAGTGCAGACCTGAAGGGCACCATGTGCCCCTGCGTGGTCCTGGGCAGGACACTGCTGAGAGCACTGTGTGAGGGGAGCTGGGATCAAAGGATGGTCACAGGATTGGAGCCATAGGACAGTGAGGAGCACACTTGCCTTGCACGCAGCTGACCCGGGTTCGATTCCCAGCATCCCGTACGGTTTCCCCAGCCCTGCCGTAAGTGACCTCCGAGCTCAGAACCAGAAGTAAGCTCTGAGCACCACCGATGTGAAACAAAAACACAAAAAAGAAAGAAGAGGGGCTGGAGCGGTAGCATAGCGTTTGCCTTGCCCGCGGCTGACCTAGGTTCGGTTCCCAGCAGCCCGTAGGGTCTCCCGACCCCGCCAGGGGTAATTCCTGAGTGCAGAGCCAGGAGGAACCCCTGTGCACCGCCAGGTGTGACCCAAAAAAGAAAGACAGAAGAGATGGACCACCGACCCCTCGGGTAGAAGCAGGGGAGGAGGCGCCGATCCTGTGTCCCCTCTCCCTTGCTCACGTGCCCGATCACCTCAGCCCTGACAAGGCCACGCTGCTCATGCCCCACAAGGTCTCCGGAAAGCCTCTGACCCTTCTACCCCTGCCCGACTCCCTGATTCTTCCCCAGGCCGGCCCCAGAGCCTGAAGGGCTCAGCGCCCCGGGAGCAGGGCCCCAGCCCTGTGCGCTCCTGGAAGGAGAACAGTGGAGAGCCAGCAGCTTGGAGATCAGCTGTTCCACCCTCTTCACCTGAGAGAGCAGTGGAGGATTGCCCAAGGTCACACGGAGCCCTGCCTGAGCAGAACCCTGACTCCTGGCCTAGTGCTCTTTTCGCCGACTCCTGCACCCCTGCAGCCAAGTTGGCATCAGCCAGGCTCTCTCTGGGGGCTGCCCAACCCCCGGCCTCACCTCTGGGCCCCAGAGACAGCAGGTCTCTGCCTCTAGAGTGCCTCCCCAGCCCCCCACCCCACCCCACCCCACCCCCCAAGCTGGATGTATTGTCTAAGGGAGAGGGGTGGGGCGGGGGGAGACACAGAAGTGAGAGGTTGGAAACAGACAGGAAGCCACAGGCAGTAAACATTTCCTGTCCCCTGGGTAACCGGGCTGGCACCCCACCCCCAGCACTCCAGGAACTCTCACCCTGCCCCCTTCCAGTTCCGCCAGACCCTGCTGCTCCTCCAGCCCTCCAGACCGCCCCTCACTCACTCCACACCACAGCCCCTGGCCCCCTAACACCTTCTGTTCGCACCCACTGATGCTGTAGGACCCCGCCTCTGCCCCCTGCCCCAAATGTTCCTGGTCTTTTCGAACGACGCCCCCCCAGGACCCCAGTACCATCTGACTCATTCCTGGATGACCTCTGCCCTAATTCATTTGAGCAGATAACAATGCTTTGTTGGGGGGTGGGGGGGTTGCAGGGTGTTGGACATAGAATTCAAGGGGCTAAGTACACATAGGAGGCCCCAGTTCCGTCCCTGGTATTGTATGGTCCCTTGAGCACTGATGGGAGCAACCCCCCCGAGCACAGAGCCAGGAGTACCCCTACCCCCCCAGCACCACCAGTTGTGACCCAAACCCCCCTCCTCCCCCCAAAAAGAGATTTTAAAGGGGTCAGAGCAATAACAAAGAAAAGGTTAGGAAAGCATTCCAACATCGGGGAAGGGAATTGCTGAAAACTGAAACGGGACTAAAGCAGATTGAGAAGAGAGAAGCCCAAGTTGTGGAAGACGAGGGGGGAGAGAGAGAGAGAGAGAGAGAGAGAGAGAGAGAGAGAGAGGAGGGCAGGCAGTCCCCAGGGCAGAGGGACAGAGACTGAGATGCAGTGCCAGAGGCGAAGCTGGGTGGAGCCCGGAGGCCAAGGCTGGCAGGGACGTTGGCCCAGGGCCGGTCTGCTCGCCCTGACTGCCAACTGCAGGCCTCATGGCACTCTGGAAGAAAAAGCCGGAGGGCCGAGCCCTGCTCGGAGGCCCGAGGGACCCTGGAAGGGCAGAAGCAGGATGATCGGCCCGGACCTCACCCCTCCTTTGGCATCGCACCCATCAGAGGTGCCTTCTCGTCTCCAGGCGCTCGGACCCCGGGAGAAAAGCGTCTGAAGCAGACCCGAGGGCCGGGGTGGAGGGAAAGGCCTGGAGAGACCCACCAGGCAGAGCCCTGGGTCCAGCCCACGCCCTGGGGAACGCTCTGTTGTTAGCATCCTTGAGCTCCTCTCTCCGCTTCCACCCATTTCCAAGACTCACACTTTCCTCCCGCACGCCTCAGGGCTGGGCTGCGTGGCCCCGAGAAGGACTTTGACTTGGGCCGAGCAGACAGACCGGGCCAGGTGAGGGTCCCTGGGCGCCAGGGACCACAAAGCCGACCCGCGCTGGGCCAGAGGCGAGGCCGCTGAGGTGGCCCAAGGGGCTGAGAGCCTGAGACCCCAGGTCCTTTCCACCCCCTGCTGCAGGGCCCCCTGAGTGAGCTCTGCCAGGAGCGACCTGAGCCCAGAGCCCAGAGCCGTGGAGCACCCAAACCAAGCAAAAACACAGGGGAGAGAGGCGGGGGTCCCGCCCCGTTTCCCCTTCCCAGCGGACTCTAACTTCGGGAGAAGGGGGGAGCGGAAGGGGTGGGGGGGAGGGGAGGGCGGTGTTAGTGACAGCGGCACATGGGGACCGCCTGACTCCTGCCTGCGCGTCTGGCATCTGTGGCATCTTCCGAGATATAAATACCACCCGAGGGGTGTCTACCCCACCCCACCCCCGCCAGCCCCTGGCCCCGAGGCCCACGACGTCCCGGAGACTGAGTCTTGACCTGCCTCTGTTTCCCCGCCCCACAGGGTCAGCGTGCTGGTGGGGGCGCCCAAGGCGAACACCAGCCAGCCGGGCGTGCTGCAGGGCGGTGCTGTCTACCTCTGTCCCTGGAGCGCCAGCCAGGTGCCGCCGTGCTCCCCGATCGAATTTGACAGCAAAGGTAACGCGTCCCGGGGTGGCCCGGGTGGAGCCACGGGCAGGATGGGGCTGGGGGGGACGGGATGGGGACAGCCCGGCCGGCCACGCGCACCCCGCCCCGCCCCGCGCGGTGGCTCCCCGTCGTGGCACTCGCTCTGCCTCCGCGGCCGGCCCAGCCCGAGAGGGCGGGCATGATTCACAGACATGTGGCTCTCATTTCCCCTGAATCACCCACCACTCGGGGAGGCCAGAGCAGGCACACAAAGACCGGCCCAGGCACCGCAGGCGAACCAGGCGGTTCATTCAGCGCCGGACCCAGTGACAGTGCCTGGCGCTGGCTCCTTGCAGGGGCGGCGGGGTGGGGGGGGTTGAGACGCGCGAGGCCACTGCCCCTCGCTGCGCGCTGGGACCTCGCCGAGGCCCAGGTGGCAGCCGGCCAGATGACGGCAGGCCGCCGAGAGGCCACGGTCACAGCTCAGCTTCAAGCGCACTTGCTCCTGTCATACACGGTTTCAGAAAGCGCTCTGCGGACGCGAACTTGCTAATCCTCCCGCGTGGGCCATCCTCCCCCTTTCCTAGGCAGGGAGACGGGAGGAAAGTTGGCCCCGTGGTGCAGCGCTGACCACTGGTGGATGGCGCAAAGGCAGCCAGCTTGAGCCTTGTGACTGGAGAGATAAAGACGGGCTCGGAGGCGGAGGGAGGAGTTTAAAGAGATGGACCAGGCAGCGGGGCGGGTGGCGGAGATAAAATCACGGAACGGGCTGGGTGTTTTTTGACTTGAAAGGCCTGGGACCGGGAGTTCAAAGCTCTTCGCTCAAAGGGCTGATCCGCCTGTTTTGCATGCCAGAGTCCCAGGATTCCATCCCAGACCCCCATGGTCCCCTGTGCATCACCATGATGAGCACTGAGATGGGAGTCCTCCAAGCCCTGGAACATCACATCATATGCTCCCCCTACACCCCCCCACCAAAAAAAAAAAAAGAAAGAGAGAAAGACCGAAAGAAACGGACTGGAGAGAAAGTACAGCAGGTTGGGAACTTGCCTTGCTCACGGGCGACGCGAGTTGGATGCCCTGGGCCACACACAGTCCCCAGAGCACCCCCAGGAGGGAGCCCTGAGTGCCGTGGCTTACGGTGCAAAAAGAGAGGCAATCCAGCTCGAGCAAGAGGAGACTCCGCACGCCTGTCTTGGGCTCGGGGAGTGGCTGACAGACGCAGACAGACGGACAGCAAAGGACAGAGACTCGAGGGGGTGAGAAGGGTCAAGGGTTCGGGCCGTGCCCTTAGGGAATAGGCCCAGCTGAGGACAAAGGACAGCGCGAGGCCACGGCCAGAACCGACCCTTCTCCCCGACACCCACCCCTCCCCCCCCCCAGGCCTCTTTGTCCCAGCTGATGGAGAAGGGGCCAGGAGGAGGCCAAATGCAAGACTGTGACGCCCAGACTGTGCCCGTATACCCTGGGAGGGGTGTGTGTGTGTGTGTGTGTGTGTGTGTGTGTGTGTCTGTGTCTGTGTCTATGTGTGTGTGTGTCTGTGTGTGTCTATATGTGTGTGTGTCTGTGTGTGTCTATGTGTGTGTGTGTCTATATGTGTGTGTCTGTGTGTGTGTCTGTGTGTGTGTCTGTGTGTGTGTGTCTATATGTGTGTGTGTGTCTATATGTGTGTGTGTCTATATGTGTGTGTCTGTGTGTGTGTCTGTGTGTGTGTGTGTGTCTGTGTGTGCATGTGTTTGGAAGATATTGCTGCAAAGCAAACTCTAAAATCCCCATCTCCCCTTCCCGGGGAGTCTTGGGGTCTCGAACCTGCGAGTGCTGAGACGGCCCCTCCCCCGGGACTGTGGTGACCCCCCCCCAACCCACCTCCAACCTCTCCTTTTGCTCTTCCCCCAGGCTCCCGGGTCCTGGAGTCCTCGCTGACCAGCCCGGAGGGGGCGGAGCCCGTGGAGTACAAGTCCTTGCAGTGGTTCGGGGCCACCGTGCGGGCCCACGGCTCGTCCATCTTGGTGAGGGGCAGGGGGCGTGGGTGTGGTGGCCGGGGGCCCCGCGCGCGGGCGAGAGACCCTGGCGGGCTGACGCTGAGGCCGCCCCTCGCAGGCCTGTGCCCCCCTGTACAGCTGGCGCACGGAAAAGGACCCGCTGATCGACCCGGTGGGCACCTGCTACCTCTCCACCGACAACTTCACTCGCATCCTGGAGTACGCGCCCTGCCGCTCGGGTAGGCTGGAGGGGCACTGAGACTGAGTACCCCCACAAACACACACACACACACACACAAACACACACACAAACACACACACACACACACACCAGTTCTCACAGCCCACCAGCCTTTTCCCCGCCCACCCGCTGGCCCCGGGAGCCCCCTTCTCCTTCTCCTTCCACCCCCTTCCCCAAGCCCCTCTTCTGGTCCTCCCCGTCCTTCCGGGGGGGGGCCCTATCCTACAACCGTCACCCCCTTTCACAGATTTCAGCTGGGTGGCCGGACAGGGGTACTGCCAAGGAGGCTTCAGCGCCGAGTTCACGAAGGTGAGGGGCACAGGGAGGCGGGGTGGCGGGCGCCCAGTGGGCTCCCGGCAGGTGCTGTACTCACCTCCTCCCCTGTCCACAGACTGGCCGGGTGGTGCTGGGCGGACCAGGAAGCTACTTCTGGCAAGGTGCGTCCTCCCTCTGCGTCCCTGTCTGCACTGGGCCCTTCCTTCCCTCCCTTCCCAGTCCCAAATCTCTCTCTCCTCTTTCTCTTTCTCTCTCTCCCTAACTCTCGCTCCCTTTGGGGAAATGTCGGGGGGGGGGTGCACACACCCAGCAATGAATCCTTGGAAGCCACTACTGGTGCTGTGCTAAAGGTAACTCCTGGCAGTGCTCAGGAGATCACTAAGTGCCAGGGATGGAACCCGGGCCACCTGCAGGCAAGGCAGACCCTCTAGACTGTGGGACCACCCCTCTGACCCCTTCCCACCCTTTCTTAAGAATCAAATGTTGGAGGGCTGGAGCAATAGCACAGCGGGGAGGGCATTTGCCTTGCACGTGGCCAACCTGGGTTTGATTCCCAGCATCCCATAGGGTCCCCCCGAGCACCATCAGGAGTGATTCCTGAGTGCAAAGCTAGGAGAGGAAGAACCCCTGTGCATCGCCGGGTGTGACCCAAAAAGCAAAATAAATGTCAGGGCTGGAGTGATAGCACAGCGGGTAGGGTGTTTGCCTTGCACGTGGCCAACTCAGCATCCCAAAAGGTCCCCCGAACATTGCCAGGAGTGATTCCTGAGTGCATGAGCCAGGAGGAACCCCTGAGCATCGCCGGGTGTGATAAAAAATAATCAAAACTAAAACTAAAAAAAAAAAAAAAAGAATCAAATGTCCTTTTCTTCTACAAACTTCGCTTTCTGGAACCTGACTTGTGGAATCTACCCATCAGCCCCCGGGCTCCCACCACAGCCTCCTCCATCCGACCCTCCTCCTCCTCCTCCTCCTCCTGTTCCCAGGCCAGATCCTGTCCGCGACTCAGGAGCAGATAGCAGAGTCCTACTACCCCGAGTACCTCATCAACCTGGTCCAGGGGCAGCTGCAGACGCGCCAGGCTAGTTCCATCTACGATGACAGCTACCTGGGTGAGCGTGCGAGGGGGCACTGGGCCAGAGGAGGAGAACCTTGGGGGCCCGGAGCAAAGGAGTGTGGGGGGCGGCAGGGGGCAGCTCTGTGCCCCTGTCTTCGTCTCTGCCTCTCCTGTGTGAGCGCCCGACCGTGGACAAGGGAATGAAGGCGGGGCAGAACGGGGCAGAGAGTCCCCGGACAGGAATGCTAATAGCCACGCCCCTGTCCCCCAGGATACTCTGTGGCCGTGGGCGAGTTCAGTGGTGATGACACGGAAGGTAAGTGTACCCCCAGGCCAGAGCCAAGGTGTGTGTGGGGGCGGGGACAGCAACCCCGAAGCCGGGACCACAGCTTTTGAGCCCCTTAGCGTTCCCATCACGCCTTTCCCGCACCCTCAACCTGCAATTTTCTCTTCTCCTTGCAGACTTCGTGGCTGGCGTGCCCAAGGGGAACCTGACTTACGGTTATGTAAGACTCAGCCCTTCCCTCCCACCCCGCCCCGGCTTAGCTCACAGAACCACCAAGTTCAGCCACGAGTGAGGGTTCAGAAGGGGATCCGAGGGGCTGGAGCGATAGCACAGCGGGGAGGGTGTTTGCCATGCACGCGGCCAACCCGGGTTCGATTCCCAGCATCCCATATGGTCCCCCGAGCACCGCCAGGAGTCATTCCTGAGTGCAGAGCCAGGAGGAAGCCCTGTGCATCCATTGCCAGGAGTGACCCCAAAAAAGCGCGCACACACACACACACACACACACGCACACACACACACACACAAGCTCCAAGGGCCTGGAGCAATAGCACAGCAGGTAGGGCATTTGTCTTGCACATGGCTGACCCGGGTTCAATTCCCAGCATCCCATATGGTCCCCCAGCACTGCCACAAGTAATTCCTGAGTGCAGAGCCAGGAGGAACCCCTGTGCATTGCCGGGTGTGACCCAAAAAGGAGAAAAAAATAGAAGTAGATCCGAATCCAGGCCCAGGTGTCCGGCCTGAGTTCCAGGGCAGGCACTTGTGACCCAGTCTGTTCCTTTTTCGGACCCACTTCATTCCTGACTATCCCCGGCCCCCTTTAGCCCCTGTGACCGTCATTCTTCCCTGTATAATGGGCTAATAATAGTTCTGACCTCACAAAACTCTTGTGAGAATGAAATGAGATAATGCATGCGAAAGTACTCGGCGAGCCGTTAGGCATCGTGCCCCGTGGCTGTTATTATTAGAGCCCGACAAGTGCTCGGAAAGGGAGACAGATAATGCCAGGGGAGTTTGCTCAGTTGAGCACCAGCTGTTGAGGCAAGGAAAGGAGATGAATGAGACCTCACAGCCAGCCCAGAGGGTGTCTAGAGCAAACAGCCAAAGGAAACAGGAGTCTCCCGTCCCCACAGCCACAAGCCCCGGGGCCCTGGTGTCCCTGTGTATGGGCTAGAGAGAATCACTCTCATTCACCTATGAGAAACCGAGGCTCGGGGCTGGAGTGATAGCACAGTGGTAGGGCGTTTGCCTTGCACGCAGCCAAGCCGGGTTCGATTCCCAGCATCCCATATAGTCCCCCGAGCAATGCCAGGGGTAATTCCTGAGTGCAGAGCCAGGAGTAACCCTTGTGCATCGCTGGGTGTGACCCAAAAAGCACACACACACACACACACACACACACACACAATCATCAGTGATGGGTTCAGGGAATGTCCATAGAGAGAGACAAGGGGCTGGAGAGACAGCTCAGAGGGTGGGGAGCGTGTGCTTTGCACCCTGGGTTTGAGCCCTGTCATCACCTGGTTCCCTGAGCACCGCCAGGAGCAACCCCCAAGGTTGAATCAGGAGTGGCCTCTAGGCACCTTCATATGTGGCGCCCAAAGCATGAAACAAAAAAGAGACAGGGAAAGGGATTAAAAGCCGACACCGGCAAAGCAGACAGCGGCAGCGGGTTGGAGGATGAAGAGAAGGAAGCGGGCTCGAGCAGACGCGGACAGGTCAGGGCCAGAGAGCGTCCAGACGTTCGGGAGCTTCTTGCCCTGCACGCAGGTGACCTGTGTGTGACTGCAGACGCCCCCGAGTCCCACCAGGAGTAAGCCCCGAGCACCGCCGGGTGTGGCCCAAAAACAAATCGAAGCAGAAAAAGTGGATAGGTCAGGGTCAGATCCTTCGGAGCCTGGAACAACAGCCAAGAGGTGGAGCACTTGGACGGCAGCTCCAGGAACCCCCGGGGCTTCCGAGCAAGAGGTGTCCCTCCTCATTCCGCTCTCGACAGCAGGAAGGGTGTGGGGAAGGGAGAGCCCGGAGCAAAGAAACAGACAGCTGGACAGCGGCTTGGGACAGGGCTCACGGGGAGTAAACAGCGAGGAAGACAGCAGAGCCTGAGGCCCAGGGTGGCGGAGGGGGGCTGGGCTGCCCCTCCGGGGAACAAGGGCGTTTGTGCCTTAAGGGGGCTGCAGAGTGGAGAGTGACTGAGACTTGGCAAGCGTTTGTTCAAAGACTCCGCTGCTCATTTTTATTTTGCTTGTTAAGTATCCCTGGGGCGATAGCACAGCGGGTAGCGCGTTTGCCTTTCACGCGGCCGACCCGGGTTCAGTTCCTCCGTCCCTCTCAGAGAACCCGGCAAGCTACCCAGAGTATCGCCCGCAAGTTCCCCGTGGCATATTCGATATGCCAAACACAGTCACAGCAAGTCTCACAATGGAGACGTTCCTGGTGCCCGCTTGAGCCAATCGATGAACCACGGGAGGACAGTGCTACAAGTCACACGACCAGTGATGTTTGGCTGGTCCTATCAAAGTGTTTCATGTTTAGGGGTTTCTCCTAGTGGTGCTGGGATCAAATTCTAGTCTCCAGTCTTTTTTTTTTTTTTTTTGCTTTTGTTTTGGTCACACCTGGTGATGCTCAGGGCTTACTCCTGGCTCTGCACTCAGGAATTACTCCTGGTGGTGCTCGGGGGACCATATGGGATGCCGGGAATTGGACCCACATCTGCTGCATGCAAGACAAACGCCCTACCCGCTGTATTATCGCTCCAGCCCTTCTCCAGTCCTTTGAACTCTCTCTCTCTTTCTCTCTCTCTCTCTCTCTTTCTCTCTCTCTCTCTCTCTTTCTCTCTGTCTCTCTTAGACTATGGTCACTTGCCAGTCCTTTGAACCTTTGAACTCTCTCTCTCTCCTCCTCCTCTCTCTCTCCCTCCTCCCTCCCCCCTTCTCTCTCTTTCTCTGTCCCTGCTGATTTCCGTCCTGTGGGGAGAGGTGGATCAATGGGAATCATCCAGTAGTTCCCTTGGTGTATGGAGCAAGATCACGAAGTTGTCCTGAGTCGGTGCCCCCAGCATGCAGATGGGAACCCAAGGGCGACCCTCTGGAGGAAGTTGGGGGCGAGGGTCTGGGAATGTCAGCACCCAGGGGCTGCTCTGGGTGTCCAGACCGATGGGCTCATCTTGCGTCTCCTGATCCTCAGGTCACCATCCTCAATGGCTCCGACGTCCGATCCCTCTACAATTTCTCAGGGGAACAGGTGAGGACACACCCCCTCCACCACCTGGCTTGACCCTGGCCAGGTCGGGCTCCCAGGGGCCCCTGGCTTCCCCACAGCCCCTGTGACCTGCCACCTCGCTCTGACCCAGTCCCCCCCACCCCCAGATGGCCTCCTACTTCGGCTATGCAGTGGCTGCCAGCGACATCAATGGTGACGGGTGAGTAGTGGGGAAGGGGCTCACGGGCTGGTACTCCCCAGAGCAGGAGCGATGGGGGGGGGGGGGGGGGACAGAAAGAAGCAGGTGCTGAGTTCCTTACCGTTTGCCTTTTGGCCATCTGCGTGCCTTTGAAGCGTGGGGGTCACACCCTGCATCTCCACGGAGTTGCTCCTGGCTCTGCATTCAGGAATCACTCCTGTCATTGCTCAGGAGACCATATGTGATGCCGGGGGTCAAACCGGGGTCAGGCACGGGCGAGACATGATCTGCTATACTGTTCCTTCAGCCCCACCTGCCTCTTTAGGGAAGTGTCTGTTCTTTTGTTCCTTTTTTTTTTCCCTTTTTGGGTCACACCCGGCGATGCACAGGGGTTCCTCCTGGCTTTGCACTCAGCAATGACTCCTGGCGGTGCTGGGGGGACCATATGGGATGCTGGGAATCGAATCTGGGTTGGCCGCCTGCAAGGCAAACGCCCTACCCGCTGTGCTATTTTTATTTATGGATGAGGTCATTATATTTTTTGTTGACTTGAAGGAGGGGAAGATGAGAGGAAGAGGTATTGGGGTCCCTGAGAGGGGGAGGTGGGTGATGGGTGTGGGGACGGTGTTCGAACTATGTTTGTGAGAAACCAGCATTAATTATATTGTAAGCCACAGAATCTTAATAAAATGGACCAGACCGACAGTTCAGTGGGCTAGGGGCTTGTCCTTCAAACAGCCAACTCAGGTTTGATCCCCAGTATCCTAAATGGTTTCCTGAGCACCACCAGGAGTGACTCCTGAGTGCAGAACCAGGAGGAACTCTTGAGCATCGGTGGGTAGGTGGCCAAATGATAGTAATAATAGGAATTTTTTTTTCTTTTTTGGGTGACACCCGGCTATGCTCAGGAGTTCCTTCTGGCTCTGCACTCAGGAATTACTCCTGCAGTGCTCAGGGGACCCTATGGGATGCTGGGAATCACACCTGGGTCGGCCGCATGCAAGGCAAACACCCTACCCGCTGTGCTATGGCTCCAGCCCCTAAGCATTCTTTTAAAGAGAAAGAAACGGGTTGTTCTTTCCTGCCAGGCCTTCCTCTGGCCTTTCCTCACTTGGGCCTGAGTTCCCTTGCCAGGCGTACAGCAGCGCCGAGCACTGACCCCTAACAACCAGAGGCCCCCCTGGGTCCCAGAGGCCTGGGACGGGGGTGGGAGGTGGCGAGAGAGGGCTCTGAAGGCATGCGCCCCCTCCCCCTCTCCAGACTGGATGACCTCCTGGTGGGGGCCCCCCTGCTCATGGAGCGGACGGCAGACGGGCGGCCTCAGGAGGTGGGCCGGGTGTACGTGTATCTGCAGCGCCCGGGCGGCATGGAGCCCACGCCCGCCCTCACCCTCACTGGCCGCGATGCCTTTGGCCGATTTGGCAGCTCTCTGACCCCTCTGGGGGACCTGGACCAGGACGGTTACAACGGTGAGTGCCGTGGGCTTAGAGAGAGCTGATGAGGCAGACAGACCCAGTTCAGAAGAGATGGAGGCAGGGTGGGCAGGGGTCGATCAGATACTCAGATACACTGGAGCGATAGCACAGCGGTAGGGCATTGGCCTTGCACGCAGTCAACCCGGGTTCGATTCCTCCGTCCCTCTCGGAGAGCCCGGCAGGGCACCAAGAGTATCCCGCCCGCCCAGCAGAGCCTGGCAAGCTCCCCGTGGCGTATTCGAGATGCCAAACAGTAACAACAAGTCTCACAATGGAGACGTTCCTGGTGCCCACTCACAAATCGATGAACCACGGGAGGACAGTGCTACGGTGCTACCCCCCACCTCAGCCTGGTGACTTCCCAAGGAGAGGTGCAGACTTCAGCTTCTGTTAGTTTGTTTGGGGCCACCCAGCCGTGCCCAGGGATTAACTCCCAGCAGGGCCATGGAAGCCAGGGATCCAACCTGGATTGACCGCGTGCAAGGCAAGTGCCCGCCACGCTGTCCTGGCTCCGAGGTACAGACCTGAATATCAGTGTCCACATCTGGGGCGTGAAGGAATGAGAACACTGGGAACGACCGATGGAAACAGAGAGCCTGAGGTTCAGCGGGGGAGCTGGGGAGTGGAGGGGTGACGTGTGTGCTGCGTTCCTGGCCGGCTGACGGGTCTGGGCTGTGTCTTGCAGATGTGGCCGTCGGGGCCCCCTTTGGTGGGGAGAGCCAGCAAGGAGTGGTGTTTGTGTTCCCTGGGGGCCCCCGGGGGCTGGGCTCCAAGCCTTCCCAGGTGCTGCTGCCTCTGTGGACAGCCGGCCACAGCCCGGACTTCTTCGGCTCTGCCCTTCGAGGAGGCCGGGACCTGGACGGCAACGGATACCCGGGTGAGTGGTGCCCAGTTCCCCCGCGGCCATTCTGGGCTGGCGCCAGCAGAGGGCACTGTGCCCTCCCTCAGCCTCCTCCCGGGCAGTGAGACCCTTGGGGTCCTGCCTTGGGGCTTGCCGTGAGGGTCCTTTCTTATTTTCTTTTTTTTTTTTTGGAAACCAAAGACAATGTTAACCTTTAGGTAAATACTTTTCTATGATGCGACATTGTCATCATTCTTAAAGGTATTATTAAGTATGAGCATACACAGGAGATATAAATACACGAAACAATGTTTCGACCTCCACCTGGTTGGAGACTAGAATGTTACAGTCATTGAAATTGTCCCTCTGTTCTGCTGATAGACTTCACGGGCTAAGGCAAATCTTAGCATCAGCGTGTTTGCCCCCGTCAATGTGCCCCAGTGGCACCTTTTGCTGGATCTTTTCTTCTTGGCCAACTGTGGAATAATAAGACACATCAACCGAAACCCTTCTTTGAAGAGATTGCCAGTCTGCCACTGGAATGAAGTCTGTAGAATCCTTCAGTAGTTCAATTTGTCCAGCAGATCGGGAGCCATTCCCTTATTAAATTCCTAATGATCTGAGTATTTTTCAAACACACTTGTGAGTGGGGCTAAAGTTCTTCCTAACTCATCAAATCTGATTTTTGTAAGGGTGAGTCAGTCTCTTGGAAGCTAGAAACTAGGTAACAGTGTCAAAGCACACCTGTCACACCTGTCTAAGGGTCCTTTTGACGTCTCGCAGATCTGATCGTGGGGTCCTTCGGCGTGGACAAGGCTGTGGTCTACAGGTACTCGCTCCTGGGGTGTGAGCAGCCTGGGAGAAGTGGGAACTGGGAGGGGCTTCAGGGGCGGGGGGATGGAGGCCGGGGAGGGGAGTCGAGAGGACCGTGGCGGGTTCCGGGGGCTCGGCTGTCCCCCGTCCCAGCACGGGCCCACCTCTGCGCTTGCAGGGGCCGCCCCATCGTGTCCACGAGTGCCTCGCTCACCGTCTTCCCTGCCATGTTCAACCCCGAGGAACGCAGCTGCAGCTTGGAGGGGAACCCGGTGGCCTGGTGAGCTCCGCGGGCCGGCCCGGGTCCCGAGGGGGCGCGGGGTGCCTGCCCGGTGGGGGCGGTGTGGGTGGTGGGCGCCAGCATCGGCCGCAGACTGTGACTGGTGCTCTCTCCTTGGTCCCCCGTCAGCATCAACCTCAGCTTCTGCCTCAACGCTTCCGGGAAGCACGTGCCCGACACTATCGGTGAGGGAAGGGGCCCGGGGATTGGGGGGGGGTGGGACAGGGAGCCGGGGCCTCTCCCTGCCGTGCGGGCAGACGCCCTCGATGCGTGTGCCTGCAGGCTTCACGGTGGAGCTGCAGCTGGACTGGCAGAAGCAGAAGGGAGGCGTTCGGCGGGCGCTGTTCCTCGCCTCCAGGCAGGCCACCCTGATTCAGACGCTGCTCATCCAGAACGGGGCCTGGGAGGAGTGCCGGGAGATGAAGATCTTCCTCAGGGTAGGACCCCCCTGGGCGTTGGGGGGGCATGGGAGGGGCGTCTGGCCAGACTGGGAAGGGGCACCCCGTAGAACCAGGGGTCCCGCCTGAAGGAGAGGAAGCGGGTCGACTGCCGTGAAGGACTTGGGATTTGGGGGCGCTGCCGGGGGGCCCCGTGGTGGGAAGAGCTGGAGTCGGACCACCGGGGCCTCTGAGGCAGTGAGGCTGGGTTCTGGCTCTCGGCCCTTGAGCACCACAAGCAGAGCCCGGCGTCAGAAGCGGAGGAGCGGGGCCCCCGTGTCCCCCGGTCCTGACCCCGTGACCCCCTCCCCTGGCCCAGAACGAGTCCGAGTTCCGAGACAAACTCTCCCCGATTCACATTGCCCTCAACTTCTCCCTGGACCCCCGAGCGCCCGCCGACAGCCACGGCCTGCGGCCCGTCTTGCATTACCAGAGCCAGAGCCGGATAGAGAAGAAGGTGTGGGGGGGGGCGGGGGGCACAGCGCGCGGGGGAGGGGGCTCCCTGGGGAAGACGCCCACCGCCCAGAAGCAGGCTAAGTCCCCCTCTCAAGGCCGCCTGCTCCCCAGGCTCAGATCTTGCTCGACTGCGGCGAAGACAACATCTGCGTCCCAGACCTGCAGCTGGAAGTGTTTGGGTAAGTGAAGGCTGACCTCAGCCCGGGGCTTCCAGATGCCAAGTCCCGTCAGGGGACAGAGGGATCTTGGGAACACCTGGTCCCCGCGGTGGAGAGCAGGGGAGCACGCCCAGCTGTGTGGCCCGAGGAAGTTGCGCAACTTCTTGTTTGTTTTGGGGCCACGCCCGGTGATGCTCAGAGGTTCCTCCTGGCTCTGCTGCTCTCGGGAATCACTCCTGGCAGCGTGTGGCGTGGCGGGGATCGAACCCAAGTTGGCTATGTGCAAGGCAGGCACCTACCCACTGTGCTCTCTCTCTGTCCCCAGCTTACTCGGTTTCTCTAATCGGTCATGCTTTTGGCATCAGTTCCTCTGACTTTTGGGGAGATCACGGTCACGGTCCTCCCGTTGTTTATGGATTTGCTCGAGCGGGCCCAGTAATGTCTCCGTCGTGAGACTTGTTGTGACTGTGTTTGGCATGTCGAATACGTCACGGGGAGCTTGCCAGGCTCTGCCGTGCGGGCGAGATCCTCTCGGTAGCTTGCCGGGCTCTCCGAGAGGGGCGGAGGAATCAAACCTGGCTCGGCCGGGCCGGCTGCGTGCAAAGCAAACACCCTACCGCTGTGCTATCGCTCCAGCCCAGACTTTTGAGGAGAGTTAAATGAAATATTCCACGTATCGCATCCAGCCTCGCACTTCCCATGAAGTCGGAGCTCGGGAAATGGGGTCTGTCAGTTTGCTGCAATTCTGGTTGTCACGATCTGATTCCCAAACCATCAATCGTCCTGGTTTGGGAATTCACATTTTGTGCCTCCTCCCCGCAGGGAGCAGACCCGCGTGTACTTGGGCGACAAGAATTCTCTGAACCTGACTTTCCATGCCCAGAACGTGGGTGAGGGCGGCGCCTACGAGGCTGAACTCCGGGTCACCGCACCCCCGGAGGCTGAGTACTCCGGGCTCGTCAGAAACCCAGGGGTGAGAGGGGGCTTCCGGGCTGGGCCTGGGGGGCGGGGGGCCACCCTTGGCAGGAGGGCGCCCACCCCTCACCCGCGCCCCTCACCTCCAGAACTTCTCCAGCCTGAGCTGCGACTACTCCGCGGTGAACCAGAGCCGCCTGCTGGTGTGCGACTTGGGCAACCCCATGAAGGCGGGCGCCAGCGTAAGTCGGGGCCGGGGCCCGCCCCAGACCCAGAGCAGACCCAGAGTGGGTGAGCGCAGCGTGGCTGAGCCTGGCGTGAAGCCAACGCCTAGTCTGCCCGTCCCTCTGTCCCGCAGATCTGGGGTGGCCTTCGGTTCACAGTCCCGCATCTCCGGGACACGAAGAAAACCATCCAGTTTGACTTCCAGATTCTCAGGTAAGGAGCTGGGGGCTCCCCAGAGATACCCCCCACCCCGTCCCCAAGGCCCGCACGCTCTTGAGTTGGGGCGTGGGCCAGGGCGGGCCGAGCATCAACTCAGTCTCTCCCACCCCACAGCAAGAATCTCAACAACTCCCAGAGCGACGTGGTGTCCTTCCGGCTGTCCGTGGAAGCGCAGGCGTTGGTGTCCCTGAATGGGTGCGTGCGGGCGGCCGGGCCCACCTACGAGGGCGGGGGAGGGGCGGTCTAGGGAGAGGGCGCCCCCGACGGTCTCTAAGCCCCCGTCCTCCTCAGTGTGTCCAAGCCCGAGGCCGTGCTCTTCCCGATGACAGACTGGCACCCCCGGGACAGGCCGCAGGAGGAGGGCGACGTGGGCCCCGCGGTCCACCACGTCTATGAGGTGAGGGCCCGGGGCGGGGGCAACCAGAATGAGAGGAAATGGGGTGGCCGGGAGCGGCCCGGGGCGTGAGGGCAGGGGAGAAGGCCGGGACAGATGTGGCCAGATGTTTTTCCCTGTTGGGTCTTTTCCCTGTTGGACTCGACTGAAAAGAAGTCTTAAAGCTGTTTGATAAATTAATTCAACTTAATTTTCAGGAACTGGAGGGATAGTTCGGTGGGCAGGCACTTACTTTGCACGTATCAAAAACTGGGTATGATCCCTGGCATCTCATATGGCATCTCATCCGCGATGCCCCGGGCTCGGCACTCCCGGGTCACCCCCGGCATTGCTTAGGGGACCGTGTGGAGTGCCGGGATCAAACCCAGCTGGGCTGCGCGCAAGGCCGGCGGCCTCCCCGCGGTGCTCTGCGGCTCCGACCCGAGGAGGGCGGGAGCTGCCTGCAGTGTGCTGGCTTCCGTCTTCCCCGCGGCGACAGGAGCGTGGGCCCCGGTGGCTGGCGTCGCCTCGGCACAGAGAGGCCGTCCCTGCTCCTGACGCTTGTGCTCTCCCTCAGCTCATCAACCTGGGCCCCAGCTCCATCAGCCACGGCGTACTGGAGCTCAGCTGCCCCCACGAGCTGGACGATCTCCCACTCCTCTACTTGACCAGGGTCACCGGGCTCAGCAACTGCACCACCAGCCACCCGCCCAACCGACAGGGCCTGAAGGTGAGCTGGGCCCTGTCCGCGTGGACACGGTCAGAGGCCCGCGGCGGGGGGTTGCTAGGAGCCCGCGAGGACAGCCTGGGCTGGAATCGAGGTCACTGGAAGGAGGCCAGGCAGGCGACACCTCAGGGCCCCCAGAGGGAAAAAGACATTTATACTCCGCGGGAAATGTCCCTGGCTTTCCTTCCGGTGCTGGCGGACTCCTGGGCCCAGCTCTGTCCCCGGGGAACTCTTTAGGCTGCTCTCCTGGGCCCCCACGCCTGTTCGAAAGTTTGTTTTCTTATTAACAATGCTTAATTAAATGAACGTCAGCGCTGACGGCTGCTCCAGCTTCAGTGAGACCAAACAGAGCTAGCAAGGCCCCAACTTGCATCGAGTTCACATTGAGTGGAGGGGAACAGACCGTCAGAACTCAAAGGGAAAGGAGCTGGAGAGGGCGTTTGCCTTGTACGCGGCCGACCCGGGTTCGAGTCCCAGCATCCCATAGGGTCCCCCGAGCACCGCCAGGAGTAACTCCTGAGTGCAGAGCCAGGAGAAACCCCTGAGCATCGGCGGGTGTGACCCAAAAAGAAAAAAGGAAAAAAAAACCTTAAAGGGAGAAATGAACTGGTACTGGGAAGTGTGAAATGGGACCAGAGCGGCAGGAGGGAGGGCGCTGGCCTTGCACGCAGCCAGCATGGGTGGGTTTGATCCCCAGCATCCCATCTGGTCTGCCGGGCACTGCCAGCAGTGACTCCTGGGTACAGAACCAGGAGTAACCCCTGAGCACTGCTGAGTGTGACCAAAAAGAAAAAGAAATGTGGTGAAGGTTCATTGCCAGCATGCGGAGGGCTGCTGACTCTGAGTCATCAGAGGAAACCTCCCAAGGAGATAGTGACTGAGCTGAGAGGCTGAAGACTGAGACCGAGTCCTGGGAAGACTCGCCACGAGGGGGGGCGTGCGCCGGGTTGGGGGGCAGGGCGCTCGCCTCGCTTGTGTGGGCCTGGGTTGGACCCTTGGCACCACGGCAGCTACAGAGAAGACTGGGAACGTGTGCCCCAGGCGGACGGAACAGCCAGTGCAAAGGCCCTTACTGGCAGGGACGGGATCGAGTTATTATGTCTGGACGTCTCCTCCCCTGAAACTCGTGGACCTGATTTGATCCGCTCAGATATCCCAGTTGCTGGGCTCGGTTCCTTGCCTTGGGCGGTGGTGACTTGGATGGACGGAAGAGTCCAGAGGGCCCAGGGCTGTGGCGCCACATGGGCGAGGTCCTCGTTGGGTACCTGGTACCCCGGGCCCCCTGTTTCCAGCCGAGCACTGCAGTGTTGCCCGAGAGGCCCCAAGGAGTTGTGCTGTGCCCCCGAGCACAGGCCGCTGAGATGCTGCAGGAGCACTGTGCTCCGGTTGTTCATCGATTTGCTCGAGCGGGCACCAGTAACATCTCCATTGTGAGACTTCTTGTTACTGTGTTTGGCATATCAAATACGCCACAGGGAGCTCGCCCGGCTCTGCTGCGCGGGCGGGATACTCTCGGTAGCTTGCCAGGCTCTCCTAGAGGGATGGAGGAATCGAACCCGGGCCAGCCACGCGCAGGGCAAACGCCCTCCCCGCTGTGCTGAGGAGGGGTGAACAAGCGTGTCTGCTCTTCCCAGTTGGACCCCGAGGGCTCCCAGCCCCACCAGCTGCACCGGCGGGAAGCCCCTGGCAGAAGCCCGACCTCTGCGGGACCTCAGATCTTGGTACGTCGCTCTGGGACTTCCTGGGCCGGAGCCTCGAGTGCTGGGTTGTCTGGGAGCCCCGAGAGGGCAGCAGTCAGATTCGGGTCTCTTCTCTCCTTCCCAGAAATGCCCAGAGGCCAAGTGTTTCAAGCTGGCCTGTGAGCTCGGGCCCCTGCACCGGCAAGAGAGCCGGAGTCTACGGCTGCATTTCCGAGTCTGGGCCAAAACCTTCCTGCAGGTGAGGGAGGGAGTCTCCGCCCTGGCCCAGCCGCCCAGCCTCCCCGTCCCCTTGGGGAGTGAAACCCAGCGGAGGCCGAGGCCTGGCTCAGCGAGGGCGTGGGTGCTTCGTGCCACCTGGTGGCCACGGCCGGAATGACTTGATTTCCTTCCCAGGCCTCCCTCACAGAGCTCAAAGGGAAACGGAGGGGCGGGGAGGGGGGGGGGGATTGCGGTGTGCAGTGGAGGGCGCTTGCCCCAAACGCGGCGGCCCAAGGTTCGATCTCTGGCGCCCCATAAAGTCCCCCCTAAGCACCGCCAGGGGTGATTCCTGAGTACAGAGCCTGAGCATCGCAGGCTGCGGCCCAAAAACTAAAAAGAAAAGGAAAACTAAGAGACGCAAGAGGCGGAGAGTAAAGCCCGGAGTCATCAAGAGGTGGAGGGTCCCGGCACTTTGGTGGCGGTAAAGACAGAGTGACCTTGCTCATCAAAATCCTGAGTAAGGGGCCGGAACAATAGCACAGCAGGGAGGGCGTTTGCCTTGCACGTGGCCAACCCAGGTTCCATCCCCGGCATCCCATAGGAGCACCGCCAGGAGTCATTCCTGAGTGCAGAGCCAGGAGTGACCCCTGTGCATCGCCGGGTGTGACCCAAAAAGCAAAAAGAAAAAGTTAAGTTTAACTAAATAAAAACATTTTTTTAACTGGAGAGCCAAAGGGAGAATACAGTGGGTCTAGCTGTGGCCTTGCATGCACCAGACTGAGTTTGAGCGGGCACTGCCTGTGGTCCCCTGAAGTGCTCAAGAAGTAATCCCTGGGGCTGGAGCAATAGCACAGTGGGTAGGGCGTTTGCCTTGCACACGTCCGACCCGAGTTCAATTCCCAGCATCCCATATGGTCCCCCAAGCACCACCAGGAGTGATTCCTGAGTGCAGAGCCAGGAGGAACCCCTGAGCGTTGCTGGGTGTGAGTGATCCAAAAAGCAAAAAAAGAGAAGTAATCCCTGAGCACAGAACCAGGAGTAAATTCTGAACACATCCAGGCGTGGCCCAGAAACCAAAAACACATACGAAGTCTAAATTTTCATTAAGGAGACAAAATATCAGTCATTGCTGACCAGGTATGTTTAACCCACATAAACGATACAATGATACTTTTAAATTTTTTACGGAGCCTGCAATCATCTAATTATATGTCATTTCTTTATAATTATCTCATTACACGTCTATTATCTCATACGAGGAACGTAGAGGGCCAGGTACATGAACTGCAAGCAGGAGCCCCGGGTTTGGTCCCAACACAGGGAAAGCCCTAAGCACTCCAGGTGCCCCACCACCCCCCACTCCCCAAAAAAGAAACAAAGAGACTCAGGAGAGAATGGATCCAGAACCCAGGAAATACCCCGCCAGGCCTGACCGGGGAGTCCTCGAGGCCCCCAGGGGCTCCCTGGACACCTTCTCCCCTCCCACCCCCCGCAGAGGCAACACCAGCCCTTCAGCCTGCAGTGCGAGGCCGTGTACGAGGCCCTGAAGATGCCCTACCGGATCCTGCCTCGACAGCTTCCCCGGAAGGAGCTGCAGGTGAGTGCGGGGTCCAAGGCCAGCCCTCTGGGCCAGACACCAGGACCGGAGGAGGGGTGGTGCCCGGCCTTGTTATTGGAGCACATCTTGGCTGAGCATCTGCTAGGAGCCAGACACCGTCCTAGGGGCTGGCGGCAGACGGGAAGCAAAAGAAACGGGGTCTCTTTGCTCCTGGAGTCTCCATCCCGTGAGTGACGCGGACGGTGTGACACGTGCCGGGATGCGTCTGGGGGCATTGGAACCCAGTCTCGGGGGCAGGAGAGGCTTCCCGGGAGAGGCCCTGTGGAGGCCTGTAGGGTAGAGAGAACGACCAGGCTGACCGGTGAGGTCAGGACCATACTCCAGGGAGAGGGAATTAGCAGCTGTGAAGGCCCCCGAAGATTTGGGAGCCAAGGGTTGGGGGCGGGGGTCAGGGAGCAGCCCCCTGCCAAGGGTCAGACCAGGAGGCTTAGGAAAATGAGCCGGAAATAAGAAGGAAGGCACGTGGTCGGGCCTAACAGCCCCTCGGACTGAGAGCCCCCGTCTGCCCTTCACGTTCGATACGTATTGCGTAGAAGCGTGGATCCTTCGAAGAGCAGCAACATGCTTTGATCCTTGGTCTCGCTCTCCTAATCTATCCGGGAGAAACATTCGCACATCCGAGGGCCTCGGTGTATCAGGACAAACATCCGTATAATGGGCTTATCTTCAGAGATACTTCCTGGGAGGAAGAGCAACAATCCCAGGCCCTTCCCTCCGTAGCTCTCCGCACCCCCCACCCGTCCAACAATATCACGGTCCCGTTACCTGCCTGGTCTGCCTCTCTCCCCCACCCATCTCACTTAACCCTCTGTTTCCCCACACACAACAACAACAACAAGAAGTAACTGTTTTGGGTGTTGAACCTTAGAAACTCAGAATTCTTGTTTGCCTGAATGGGAGGTGAGAGGGGGCCTGGGCCCACGAGGGGGTGGGCGCTCCATTTCGGACGGGGAAGCTCCAGGGCCTCTCTGACTCGCGTCCTAGGTGGCCACCGCCGTGCAGTGGACCAAGGCCGAGGGCAGCCAGGGAGTCCCGCTGTGGATCATCATCCTCGCCATCCTCTTCGGCCTCCTCCTCCTGGGTCTGCTTATCTACATCCTCTACAAGGTCAGCCGCGCCCCCGGCGTGCCCCGCCCAGCAGGCTCTGCCCTTGCCCGATCCCAGATGTCCACCCCTGCTCGGTCCTGCCAGCATCTCGGCTGCCCCCTCCGCACGCATCCTCCCCGACCGAGTTTCCCGACTCAAGCCGCCGTCCTTGCAAATACCCTGCTCCCCACAAGTGGCCGCTGTGTGGCCTGGGTGCTGCTTCCGCGTCCCCAGAGGCCGGCTCAGCAGTGGAGCCAATGCCAGCGGTGGCCGCGGTCCTGCGAGGAAGCCAGGACTGTAGCACTGTCCTCCCGTTGCTCATCGATTTGCTCGAGCGGGCCCAGTAATGTCCCCATCGTGAGACTTGTTGTTACTGTTTCCATATCGAATATGCCACGGGGAGCTTGCCAGGCTCTGCCGTGCGGGCGGGATACTCGGTAGCTTCCCGGGCTCTCCGAGAGGGGCAGAGGAATCGAACCTGGGTCAGCCACACCGGCCGCATGCAAGGCAAAGGCCCTACCGCTGTGCTATCGCTCCAACCAGGACTAGACACGTCAATCCTGGCACTTGAGGGGCTGGAGCGACAGCACAGGGGTAGGGCCTTTGCCTTGCACGTGGCCGATCCGGGTTCGATTCCCAGCACCCCATATGGTCCCTCGAGCACCGCCAGGAGCAATTCCTGAGTGCAGAGCCAGGAGTAACCCCTGTGCATGGCCGGGAGTAACCTAAAAAGAAGAGAAGAAAAAAAAAATCTGGCACTTGAGCTCAGGCCTATTTTTGCCCCTTTTAACACTTAACTAGGGAGTTGTTGGGGGGTTTTGTTTTGTTTTGTTGCTTGTTTTTTTTTTTTAATTTTTTGTGGTTATTTGTTGGGGAGGGAAGGGTTTGTGGGGGTTTCTTTTTTTCTTTTCTTTTTGGATCACACCTGGCGATGCACAGGGGTTCCTCCTGGCTCTGCATTCAGGAGTTACTCCTGGCGGTGCTCAGGGGACCATATGGGATGCAGGGAATCGAACCCGGGTCAGCCATGTGCAAGGCAAACGCCCTACCCGCTGTGCTATCGCTCCAGCCCCAGTTGGTGGGTTTTGTCTTCGTTTTGTTTTGAGGCCTCACCCTGCAGTGCTCAGGGCTTATTTCTGGCTCTGTGCTCAGGGATCACTCCTGGCGAGGCTAGTCAGGAGTAACCCCTGGGCATCGCCAGGTATGGGTACCCCCCCCAAAAAAAAACAATCCGGGTCAGCTGCATGCAAGACTAGCGCCCTTTTCCCTGTCCCATCTCTCTGGCCCAATGAGGGGTATTTTGTTGGCACCACTGAAAGACCCCCCTCTGCCGTATTACCGCCACCGTCCACCCTCCTTGTCCTCTTGAAAAGATGGTCTTAGCCTGACTGTGGCCAGTTTTGCAGATGGGGAGGTTCCCTGCTCCTTCCTGGGCTGAGTTCCAGCACAAAACCCAGCCCAGCTCACCTAGCGTCTCCCACCTTCCTCCTCCCCAGCTCGGATTCTTCAAACGCTCCCTCCCGTACGGCACCGCCATGGAGAAGGCCCAGCTGAAGCCTCCGGCCACCTCTGACGCCTGAGTCCTTCCCATCCCAGACTCCCGATCCTGAAGGCCCAACTCCCCGGCCCCGTCTGCGGACAGGGAGCGGGATGGGCGCTTTCTGAAGGTGCTGAGGGCCGGGAGACGCTCCTCTCCCCAGCCCAGAGACATACTTGAAGGGCCAGCGCCGGGGGGGTGCGGAGGAGCTGGGGTCCCCTCCCCCAAGCACTGTGAAGGACCCTTGTTTACACACGCCCTCCTCGAGGATGGGGGAGCTCCGATCCAGGGACCGCAGCCCCAGCCTCCCCGCAGCCTCTGCGTTCTGGAAAGAGTTTCCTGAAAACAACTTGGAACCTTCCTTCCTTCCTTCCCTGGGGAACCTAATCCCGGATCTCTGGGCCCCGACGTGCCACCAGGACTTCCTGCCTCGCTCCAGCCTGCGGAGAGCAGCCAGAGACGCCTACGAAGCTCCCAGCTAAGGCCCCGGGCCCTGGGCCGTGAGACCCGGCAGCTGTGGCCAGGCCGTGCCCTACAGGCCGACAAGGAAGCATCCGAGGCAGATGCCGCGCTCAGGACCGAGCCCAGACAAGGGTCACTGCTGGCCCAGAGCCAGCCCGGAGGGGCATCAGGACGCTCAGGAGGCTACGCGGAGCCTGGGACCGGGCGTGGAACTGAGATCCAGACTCAGGCCCGGGAACAGAAGCGGGCAGTTTCCAGAGAACACTTGAACCTGCTCCCGCCCCAGGCCCAGGGCCCCCTTCGTCCCTGCCTCCGGGGGAGCCGGGTTTGCCCAGGACCCCACCAGGGCGATGACGGCCACAGATCTGGAACCTCAGCGTGGCCAGGCGCTGGCCTTCCCGGGTCCCCGGACAGAGGGAAGCCCGCTGCCCTGGGCCTCGGGGCTGGGGTCTGCCACCGTGCACTGATGCTGCCCCTACTCCCACCGTCCGACCCTCCCCTCCCCTTGGCTCCGGATTTTCGGGACTTATTTAAACTCTGTTGCAAGTGCAATAAACCCAGCCCGGTGCCCCCACTGACCAGAGCTGGCGTCTGGGCGTTCCCACTCTCTTTGCAAGCCCACCCGGGGACCAGACGGTGTGGTCGGTAGCAAGTGTGTCTCACGGCCTTTTTCCACTGGGAAGCAGGACCATGACCTGGCCCCCCACACCACCCCCGAAACGGGGGCTAGCTTTGGGGCTCCTTTTAGGGGAAGGATCTGGTAGGGGGGCAAAAACCAGGTCTTCACCCCTCTGCCCGTCCACAGACAGATCTGCTTCCCGGCTCCTCCCAAGAGACGGGAGGGGGGGCATGTTCTTGGCGTGGGTTTGAGCGTCAGGCCAGTATCCTACAGGGGAAGTTTGAGTGTTTTTGCTTGGCGGCCACGCGTGGCTGCGCTCAGGGCCTACTCCTCACTCCGTGCTTGGGGGTGGTTCCTCGTGCTGGGGTTCGAGGCAGTCCCCAGCTTGCAAAGCCAGCACTCGGCCCGTTGCTCTGTCTCTCTGACCCTGGAGGTCCGCGTTAAAGGTAGGGAGATGAGGGGCTGGACAGATAGTCCAGCGGGTGAGGTGTTAGCCCTGCGAGCTGCCGACCTGGTTTCAATCCCCAGCACCCCATACGGTCCCCGGAGAAAAGCCAGGAGTGGTTCCTGAGTGCAGAGCCAGGGGTAGTAAAGTCACCCCTGAGCATCGCAGGGTGTGACCCAAAAAGACAAAAAAAAAAAAAGTAGGGAGGTGATAGTCTAGAAAACTGGCTAGGGCTTCCCTGAATAAGATAATGACATGGGGGACCTTGGGGGTGCAGAATAAGGACATGAATCTGACTAATGAAAAAGCCACAGAAGAAGAAATTCCATGTGGGGGGTGGGGGGGTGGGTTGGTTTTGTTTGTTTCTCTGCTTTTTCTGTTCTGCTTTTTCTCCTGTTCTGTTTTGGTTTGGGGCCACGCCCAGCGGTGCTCAGGGATCACTCCTGGCACTGCTCAGGGCACCATAAGGGGTTGCCAGGGATTGGACCAAGGTCGTCCATATGCAAGGGGACCCTCGTGGTGGTGCCCAGACGATCGTGCTGTAAAAGATGATCAGACCCCGGGTTTCTGAATGCAAAGTGAGCTCCAGCCCATTGACCCATCTCTCCGGATCCCTTTACATTCTTTAAGAATCCTTGATGGAAGCATTAACCCCAGTTAGACGGAGGTAATTGAAGTTCAGAGAGGTTATGTAACTTGTCCAAGGTCACACAGTACCAAAGCAGATGTTAACAGATTTGTCTGACTGAAAGCCCCCAATTTTTCTTTGCCTCCCCCCCACTTCGGGGTGTGTGTGTGTGGGGGGGGTGATAGTCTAGAAAACTGGCAAGGGCTTCCTTGAATCAGATAATGACATGGGGGACCTTGGGTGTGTGCAGAATAAAGACATGCATCTGACTAATGAAAAAGCCACAGAAGAAGAAATTCAGTTTGGGGCGTGGGGGGTGTTCAGCCGTTCCTGGAGCTGCTTCAAGCTTACTCTTGTGCTCAAGGACCAAGAGTGCATAGGGATTGGATCGGGGTTGGCCAGGGGCAAAGCAAAGGGCCCGAACCGCTGGAGTTCAAGTGAAAAGGCCTCGTGTTAACCCCCATGCCAGAGGTCTCGGGCCTTTGGTGAAGAATCAAAGTGAATGGGCCCCCAGGGTCATCTGTGTCATCAAGGACTGTCCCAGCGTGCCCCAGAGGGAAGGAAAGGGTGCTGAAATCAGAGGTTGGCGGCCCAAATGTCTATGTCATGCGACTCCTGAGCTCAGCCACCAGGGGACAGCAGAGTCACAAATTTATGGGAGTTTGAGGCAGGGAGGGTCAGAGGTTGACCTTGTCCCTTCTTCCCCCAAGCATCTGAACCATTCTTTTCTTTTCCTTTACTCTTTTTTTCCTATTTGGGGGCGCGGGGTGGGAATCCAACGCAGAGCTTCCTGCAAAGTATGGATGTGAAAAGGGACAGTCCTCGAAGAACCCATGAGGGGCTGGAGAGAGAGAGTCCGGCGGAAAGGTCGTGCATGCATCTGACCTGGGTTCACTCCCGGTAACCCAGGCTGGTCCCCCCAAGCCGGTCAGGAGCCTGATCCCGAGCACAGATCTAGAAGTAAGCCCTGAGCACTGCCGGATGTGACTCAAACACTGAATTTTTTTTTTTTGGCTTTTTGGGTCACACCTGGCGATGCACAGGGGTTCCTCCTGGCTCTGAGCTCAGGAATTACCCCTGGTGGTGCTCAGGGGACCCTATGGGAGGCTGGAAATCGAACCCGGGTTGGCCACGTGCAAGGCGAACACCCTATCCGCTGTGCTATTGCTCCAGCCCCTCAAACAGTGAATTTAAAAAAAAAAAAAAGCCCTAGAATGAAGTGGGACTGGTTGAGATAAGAGACCGAGAACCGCCCAGTGCTTCCAAGGATGGCAGAATCACAGAACACTCTCGAGGAAGGAACTCCACCCTGGCCTCCTTGGGGCAGGGCCGGGGTGGCACAGGCCTAACCCAGGCTCCAGACCTGGGTCTCCACTCCCTCATCGTGGAGGGAAAGTGGACTGAGGACCGCCGCGCCGGTGCTCTGGGTCTGCCTGTGTGCCTCTGTTTTCTTTTACCTTCAAGTCGCAGAGCAGGACAAGGGCCCTCGCGAGGGTGCACGGTCCAAAGAGGGAGTTTCTTGGGCTCCGAACTGCTGCGGCTGTAACCCAGCACCAGCCTTTCAATCCCTGCACTGACTGTAATTCTCCGACTGCTCGAAGTCTTCCTCCCAAACCTCCCAGGGCAAGTCGCCTCCCCTCTCGGGACTGGAGCCTCCCAGAAGCACACTGGGGGTGGGTGGGGGTCTCGGGAGGCCTGAGCCTTGTTGGACCTTGTCCTTGCCTGTGGCAGTAGAGATGGAAGAGTGCTCAGTGAGGGAGCAGAGCAGCTGGGGGTACCTGGAGGGGGAGGGGGCTCGGAGAGGCAGCTGGCAGGCGGGAAGCTGATCTGGGGGTCTCAAGTTTCTTGACATCAATTAGAGCAGGCGGCCAGGGCTCATTAGTAGCCTGGGGTGCAGGGCTCATCAATAATGGATTCACCCGGTACACGGCCCCCCCAGCTGCCGGCAAGGTCACCTCGTCCTCCAGCCAGCTGCCTCCCCCGTAAGCACAGCGACTCTCTTTGGAGACCTCCCTACCCCCGGGTCCCCGGGGCCCGTGGGGACCAGATCAAAGCGAAAGGATGTCTTGTCCATTGGCCACACCTGCCGCGTGGCGGGTTTGTTCTGGGTGTCCACCCGGGAAAGGGACAGGGCCAAGGCCCGGGGGACGCGTGTTGAGTACCGACAGGAGGGTCTGGGGGGCAGCGGATGTGGTCGAGAGGCCAAACGGCAGGTGGAGAGTGGGCCCGATGGGCTCCGCGCCCCCAAGGCCAGACACGGGCAGGGAGCGCTGGGTTCCGGCGCAGACCACCACGCCCTGCACCCCCCATCCGCTCGCCCTTGAGCATCTCACAGGTGCAACCGCCGGGCTCACCCTTCCAACCTGATCCATCGGGCAAGGCCCAGAGACTGCTGAGGCCCAGAAACAGGAACTTGAACTTCCTGTAACTTAATTAGCGCTCCAGCCCCAACTTCCCTGCAGGAGCCAGGACTGCCAGCCCCGGTGCCCTGCCCTTCCCGGCTCTTTGGACGTGCCAGTCCTGCCCCCTTCCCACTGACCTTCTCCTCCCCGCCTGCCCCCACACCCCAACACCCAGGCGGTCCGGCTCGCCGCGACACCCCTTCCCCCTGCCCGGCGCGGGCCGCGAGGCACTGTGGGAGCCGCCCTGCCACCCTCGCCCACGGCAGGTCCGGGCAGGTCCGGGCACCGCAGCGCATCTTCCCCAGACACCGCGCAGACTCCGCGGCTCCAGCTCCCGCGTCCGTCCCCGCCGCCGCCGCCCCCGGTGGGCCCCCAGGACGCTCCGGCGCGCGCTCCCCCCGCGCCGCATCCAGAGCGCGGCGCCGCCGCCGCATCCCGGCCCGAGCATCCTCCTCCCGGCGCGCCCCTCCGCCCGCCGGACTTGCCCCTGCCCGTGGTCCCAGCCCCTCGGCAGAGCGGCCTCCCCCCTCGCGCGGCCGCCCTCCGCCCGCCCCTGCAGGTCCCCCCGGGGCCGGGCCCGGCCCGCGCGCCCGTTGTGGGCCTGGGGGCTGCACCGGGGCTGCGGCCGGCTCGCGACTCCGGGGGGCTCCGCGGGGGCTGCGGCTCGCGGACCCCGCGCCCCTGCTCGGCGTCTCTTGCGGCCTCCGGAAGGCAGAGGCGCGCGTCGCCAGGACCCCCGGGAGCCCCCCGGTGCAGGCAGGGGGTCAGTGCGGCGGCGGGGGCGGGGGCAGGCCTGCGCGCCGCCGGCCCGGGTCCGACCCCCAGCGCCCCACCCCCAGGACCCCCCCAGCGAGACCACCCGAGCGGGGCCACGTGGGCTCCGTCGCCAGCCCCGAGGGACAGCTCTGCACCCGGGCCGCAGGGAAGCCGCGGGGACCCCCGGGGCCGGGCGCCCCCACCCCCACCCCACCCCACCCCACCCTGCCGCGCGCGACCCCCGTCCCGGGACCCGCTCCCCGACCTCGGCCCCGGCCCCTCCCGGGCTGCGCCGCCGCGGACGCCGCCCGCGGGCCCCCCACGCCCGAGGGGCCCGGGACGCCCCCTCCTCCGGCTCCACCTGCCGCGGCCCGCCCCCTCCCCGCCTCCCGGCCCGGCCCCGCCCCCGGCTCCTCCCCCCGCACCCCAGCCCGGCCCGAGCGGCCCCCGGGACAGAGCGACGCGGAACCCCGGGCGCCGGGTCCCCAGCATGATCCTCGGTGAGTGTCTCGGCGCCCGCGCCCCCCGCCCCGCCGCCCCCCGCCCCGCCGCCCGCGGCGCGGGGACTGCGGCGCCCCCCCCGCCCCACATCGGGGCCCCCCGCCCGCCCCGGGGAGGGGGCCGGGGGCCGCGGCGCCGAGGGAGCCCCCCGCCCCAGAATCGGGCCATTGCGTATTCATGAGGCTCATGAATATTCCATGACGGGCCCGGAGCGGCCGGGGAGGGGGCTGGGCTGGGCCCTGCGG